TCTCTCTCTCTCTCTCTCTCTCTCTCTCTCTCTCTCTCTCTCTCTCTCTCTCTCTCTCTCTCTCTCTCTCTCTCTGTCTGTGGCTTTTAACTATGTCTGTGTGTGTGTCTCTGCTCTTCTTACATCATGTCATGGATGCAACTGTGAGCAGCTGCTGTGCTGTGTACAATGTAATTCCATAGCATGGTGCTCTGTCACTTTTTGGATGGTATTTGATCACATGTCATGAAAATCAAATTGCATATTTAATACAGATTTACTGAGGATCTAGCAAGGGGACTACAAGGAGAAAGGAGGGAGGTGCAGAGAGATTATCGCCTCAAGTTCAAAGACTGGACGAAGATTGAACCAAGCTTTCCCCTGCGACCAGCGTCCGATTTCCCAGATATTTTCCTGCGGCATCCGCTGGCGCTGGTAGAGGGTCAGTAAGGGAGGGCAGAGAGAGCAGAGGGAGCTGGTGCCCCCCAGGCCACTGCTCAGGCCCTCTCCCGTGGCGGGACGTCGCTTCTGCTCCTCTGATTCTTGGACGAAGGCTAATGAAGGCATGGGAGGCTGGACCCGGTTTCCAGCCTGTTTTTTTTTGGGACTGATGAAGGTGGTAGGTACATGGGATGCTGGACCCAGTTTCCAGCATTTGGACTTTCGAATGTAAATCACCGTAAGGGACGCTGGACCCGGTTTCCCGCGGCACCTCAGCCTGTTTGTTTTTGAACTGATGAAGGATGGTAGGTACATGGGATGCTGGACCCGGTTTCCAGCATTCGGACTTTTGGATGTAAATCACCGTAAGGGACGCTGGACCTGGATTCCCGCAGGTGCCGCTTCCCACTAATAGACTGAAGCAGCCAGTGAGGGAACACTATGTGGAGKTGCTCTCATCACTCCCTCTAGTGGGGCAGGGGCTGGTTCCTTGAAAAAGGTGTAATGAACCCAGTCTGGCAGATACTCAGCAGTCGTCAAACATCAGTAGTCTCAATATCTGCAACAAAGTCTCTAAATCGTGAAGTGATGTCTCAAACAATTTCTCATTACCATTAGAAGAAGAGAGTGGAGGGGGAACAGATAGAGGAGAACGTGGAAGAGATGATTAAAGATCACACAATAGTAATCCCTTCAAACCCCTCTCCTTCTCCGGGCTTCTTCCCTCTCCACATCAACCACCAGTAGGTGATAACAAGTATAGTAATCGTGATCACACACAATAGTGCCACGTGGCACTTTTATCTCGTGAAGACCATGAAGACACAGCAGATTCCAGTGACGCCGTCAATCTCAGGTGAGTACCCGAACTCCTACATCCACAGATCCCGATCTTCCTCCTCGCAACCAGTCACCTCATGAAGAGAAATAGCCATGTTCCAATATTCTTTCAACTTCATAGCCTCCATTCATAGAGGGTGGAAACATAGATGGTCGATTCGGAAAGTTGTCACTTTCTACATAAGGTAGCAGCTTAGACGCATGGAAGACAAGGTATGTCCTTAGGTGTGGAGGTACATCTATGCGGTAAGAAGGTCCATCTTCACCTCCAATCACTTTGAGAACTTCTCAGGGTCCGTAGTAGACAGGTAGCAGTTTTTGAGACACATTTTCCTCTAAGGAAAACTTTTTAGACTTAACCCAGATAAAATCCCCTTCTTGGAATTGTGAGGGTCGGAAATGTTTATTAGTCTGTTCAATCATTTGTAGTTGGGTCTTCTATATGTTTTCCTTAACTGTTTTTTATATCTTCTTCATATGAAACTGCGAATTCACGCGTACCTGGGGGTAGCCTCTGAATTTGGTCCCTTGTTAATGCATCAATGGGACGTCTAGGCTTCCATCCTTTATGCAGTGCGTTAGGCGTTTTTCCTGTAACAGTATGTATACTGTTATTATAGACACTAGCAATTTTGGGCAAGTTCTCATCCCAATCAATCTGATCAGGACGGACATATATTCGCAAAAGTTGTTGGCAGAGACGATTCATTTGCTCAGTTTGGCCATTCGTTTCAGGATATCTGCCTGACAACATGGTCAACCTGGTCCCGTAAACTTCTATGAACTTCTGCCATTGTAGACTGGTGAACCGAACATCCCTATCAGAGACAATGGTTTTAGGGAATTCATACTGAGAGACCCATCACATCTGAAACTTTTGGATAACTAGTTCAGTTCTAGCTTCAACAGGCAAAGGAATGAACACAACATACTTTGAGAATCTATCTATGATGACCATTACCTGACTGTTGTCATTTCGACTTTTAGTGAGACTCATAAAGTCAATGGAAATAGACTCACCTGGTTCACTTGGAAGGCAACGGTCTCAGTAATCCCATCGGATTCTCATGTGAGGGTTTGTTCCTCTGACAGACAAGACAAGTCCGCACGTAGGTTAGTACATCTTCCTTCATTCCTTTCCATTCAAAACGTTCACGCATATCGGCATACGTCTTCTTAAAACCAAAGTGACCTTCCGCATCATGACACTCCCCAATGATTACACTTTTAATTTGTTATAAATGAGGAATACACGATCTTTCTTTGGTTTTGTCCATAAAGAAGAGTAAGTCATCAGTCATTCGATATTCCGAGAGCAATTCAGGGTTCTTCCATAAAGTCTCAATGATGGGACTCCAATATTTGTTCCTTCAACTCATTCCCAATATCGAGGTAGGAGACAATTGCCCCAAAGAAATCTGCACGTCTAGACAAGGTATCCGCAACCACGTTAGACTTACCTTTTATAGTTTTCAAGTCAAAGTCAAAGGTATCAATAAAAGCGGACCATCTCACTAACTTATCAGAGAGTCTAGGTTGTGTCTTAATCCATTTCAGGGTAGAATGATCTGAATAGACAGTAAAGTGTCTCCCTAACAAGTAGTGTTTCCTGGTGTCTAGTGCAGAGACCAAGGCATACAGCTCCCTTTCAAGGTGGAGTTGGCCACTTTCTCTAACGGAAGTCTTCTGGACATAAACTCAATCGGTCTATACCCCTTACCGTCGTCTTGTTGTAGCACAACCCCAATTCCATACTGACTTGCGTCAGTCATAACGATGAAAGGAAGAGAAGGGTTAACAATTTTCAAGACAGGGTAGTGAGTCAGAACATGTTTTAACTTTCTAAATGATGACTCACAATCTTTGTCCCACAACCAAGGTTTTTCCTTTTTCAATAATCTTCTCATAGGAGCAACTATCAAGGAGAAGTTTCTGAAGAACTTCCTATAGTAGCTAGCAAGTCCTAGGAAAGATCTTAGTTCAGTTATAGTCTTAGGTTGTGGCCAATCTCTGATTGTTGTAATCTTATTTTCTTCAGGCCTTAGTCCTTCCTCGTTCACTATATGCCCTAAGTACAAGACTTCAGGCTTAGCGAACTCAGACTTCTTTGGATTCAGTTTGAAGTTGCCCTCGTGCAACTTCTGCAAGACCATTCGTATGTGTTTCTCATGATCTTCTAGTGTCTTACCATACATTAGAATGTTATCGAGACTACTACGAATTGATCAAGCATTGACGAAACAATTCGTCCATTGACCTTTGGAATGTTGCAGGCGCATTGGTCAACCCGAAAGGCCTAACCACGAACTCGTAGTGACCATACCTGGTTCGGAATGTCGTCTTGTGTTGATCCTTCGGAGTCACCTCGATCTGGTGGTACCCTGACTTGAGATCAATCTTGCTAAAGTACCTGCATACCTGCAACTGATCCAATAGATCGTCAATACGTGGAAGAGGTTTTGCGTTTTTCACAATGACGGAGTTCAACCCTCGATAGTCAATACAAAGACGCAGTTCACCTTCCTTTTTGGGTAGGAATAAAACAGGGGCACCATAAGGAGATGAGCTAGGGCGAATCCATCCATTGTCAGTAAGTTCTTGTAACTGCTGTCGAAGTTCCTCAAGTTCCTTGGGAGACATTCGGTAGATGGAACCCTTGGGAATCTTGCTTCTGGGAATGATTTCGATTGTGTGCTTGATAGCACGCTCAGTAATTCCCGTCAGCTCAGTCTGCAAGTCCTTGTACTCATCGAGAAGTTTTCGATAGAAGGTGGATAGGATGAGGAACATTGACCTACTCGTTTGACAAGCACCATCATCACCTTCTGATCCAACTTCTTCTTTGCTACCATTGAACAGAAAGTTGGGTAACTCATACAACAAAATAAAAGACAAAGTAGAGTCAGAGCCAGACCTATGATATAGGACTTCTCGTCCTTGAGTTTGACAATTTTATCTTTGAACCTTACCTCAGGGTTGGCTTCCTAGTGCCAATCCATTCCCCTTTAAGAGTCTGGTCACTGTCTCTAACGAGGCAGTGTTGTGGTCAATCTTCTTTTCAAGGGAAAAAGGTCGATCATGATAGATTGAAGGATGGATGCAAGCTCGCTGCCTGCTTCCTCATAATGAAATCTTTGCCTTAATTCATCCATAATTCGTTCTTCTTCTTCTTACGCTTCTTGTAATCTTCGGAACTCCTCAATCTTCCTTCTTTCTTCTCTCAGGGTATTTTCTAGTTGTCTAACATTCTCCTCTATTATCTCAACAGACAATTGCGGTTCTACCTTCTTTTCTTTTTCTTTTTATTTTCTTTTCTTCCTTTCTTGCTCCATTTTGTCCAGGTGCTCGGCAACATACCGGTCAAGGAGTATTCGTCCTTGCTTGATGAAGTTCTCAACCTTCTTGCCGGTCTCTATTACTTGAACAGTGGTTTCTGCGGCTTTCAGTTCACTTTCTGCAGCATGCACATCGAACTGGTCATGAATCCGCTGTTCATTCTCAGAACCGACACCGTGTACCTCACCGAGAAACTGGTGGAGAAACCCGATCAAAGTTTGCTTTCTTGTTTCAATTTGATTACGGGTCTTTAGTTCTCCCCCTTCCGCATCGACATAGACTATGAGAGGGATAGGGAAGAAGAGAAGAGGAATGAACTGCGTCAAGATAGAGGCACGCAGACATTTCCAGAGAGAGTTCATTTTTCCACACGTGTAGATGCCGCACAATAAATAAAATCAGAAGACTAAAATAAATTCCACGGCACACGCAACTTCTATAACAAGAACTAAGGCAGATACAAAGAAGCAGGTTCTCAATCAATTTCTAAGTCTAACTTTGTTGTCTGTTTCCTATGTGATGACGTCCTACAACAAATGTACAGGTACCGCAGCCACGGCCAGTGTGATCAAGACAATAGCACACTTGTGAGTACACACAGCATCCACAGAATAGACAACAGGTGCGTAGAAAGCCAGCACAGCAACACAATCAATGGTTAGCTTCTACTGTATCATTTGCAGAAGCAATGTAACCCTCAGAAAACAAGTGCACAGTCTTTCAATGCCACGTGTCACCCCTGGCATGCCAACGCAGCAGTTCTGCCACGTCAGCGACAAGGACCGAAACGGTCTACAAGGAGGGATGCCACGTTGCAATGCAGGTCTGCCACACACTCAAAACCAACACCAGCATGCCACGTCAGTGCATCAACAGCATGAATGCCACATCGGCGGTCCCAATCTCTCTCTTAACCAGCGCCGCGTCATCCTGTTGCCAATGCAGGTCTCGCCGGCATCTTGAAATCTTCAGTGCAGCCACGTCATCATCTTCAAGGGACAGCTGCTGGCACGTGCAATACTACAATGTCTAGACTTGCAGTATTTACCGCGCGCGTTAATAAATGTGTTTCGTTTTGCACATGCGGCAGCTCCCACTTACCTGGGTGCCACGTCAGCACCTGACAGCAGACAGCAGATTGCGAAGAAGGAGTTAGCTCCGATACCAAATTGTAATGAACCCAGTCTGGCGGATACTCAGCAGTCATCAAACATCAGTAGTCTCAATATCTGCAACAAAGTCTCTAAATCGTGAAGTGATATCTCAAACAATTTCTCATTACCATTAGAGAAGAGAGTGGCGGAACGTCGCTTCTGCTCTGATTCTTGGACGAAGGCTAATGAAGGCATGGGAGGCTGGACCCGGTTTCCAGCCTGTTTTTTTTTGGGACTGATGAAGGTGGTAGGTACATGGGATGCTGGACCCAGTTTCCAGCATTTGGACTTTCGAATGTAAATCACCGTAAGGGACGCTGGACCCGGTTTCCCGCGGCACCTCAGCCTGTTTGTTTTTGAACTGATGAAGGATGGTAGGTACATGGGATGCTGGACCCGGTTTCCAGCATTCGGACTTTTGGATGTAAATCACCGTAAGGGACGCTGGACCTGGATTCCCGCAGGTGCCGCTTCCCACTAATAGACTGAAGCAGCCAGTGAGGGAACACTATGTGGAGKTGCTCTCATCACTCCCTCTAGTGGGGCAGGGGCTGGTTCCTTGAAAAAGGTGTAATGAACCCAGTCTGGCAGATACTCAGCAGTCGTCAAACATCAGTACTCTCAATATCTGCAACAAAGTCTCTAAATCGTGAAGTGATATCTCAAACAGTTTCTCATTGCCATTAGAAGAAGAGAGTGGAGGGGGAACATACAGAGGAGAAGGAGGAAGAGATGATTAAAGATCACACAATAGTAATCCCTTCAAACCCCTCTCCTTCTCCGGGCTTCTTCCCTCTCCACGTCAACAACCAGTAGATGATAACAAGTATAGTAATCCTGATCACACACAATAGTGCCACGTGGCACTTTTATCTCGTGAAGACCATGAAGATTCCAGTGACGCCGTCAACCTCAGGTGAGTACCCGAACTCCTACATCCACAGATCCCGATCTTCCTCCTCGCAACCAGTCACCTCATGTAGACAGCGTGGACAATGACACGTCAGCAGTCAAGACAGGTGGCATACGCCACATCATCAATGAAGACCAATGGCAGCGCCACATCAGCATACAATGTAGACCAGAGGCAGCGCCACATCAGCTTGCAATGTAGACCAGAGGTAGGGCGACATCAGCATAAAATGTAGACCAGAGGCAGTGCCACATCAGCATGCAATGTAGACCAGAGGCAGCGCCACATCAGCATGCAATGTAGACTAGAGGCAGCGCCACATCAGCATGCAACGTAGACCAGAGGCAGCGCCACATCAGCATGCAATGTAGACCAGAGGCAGCGCCACATCAGCATGCAACGTAGACCAGAGGCAGCGCCACATCAGCATGCAATGTAGACCAGAGGCAGCGCCACATCAGCATGCAATGTAGACCAGAGGCAGCGCCACATCAGCATGCCTGGCGCACAGAACAAGAAGCGCCAGCATGCTGACTCCACCTCGTGCCGCCGTCCGCATCGGCAGTGCACAGCCAGCGTCTAGCCAGCGTCGAGCCATCATAATGCCAGCGTCTAGTCAAAGTCAAGCCAGCGTCAAAGCAGCATAGCAAGACTGAATGCTGACCACCTCGAGGCCAGGCTTTAAGTAGCAGTTTACGAGGCTGTCTGGCCTCGGGTCCTGTTCCCTCAGTCTTCCAGATTGACTTACAGCCGACGGCTCCGATTGTGTACAGTTGCAGACTTCCCCTTGGACCTGATGCTGTCTGGGTACCTGCATACAAACAAGTGTGTGTGCTTGACCGGCAGCCTGGACTGGGTACCTTTGGACTTTGACTGTTGGTGTCACGACAGTTGACAAAACTGTGTTGCATACTTGTGAATACTTCGACAAGTATGGGCAGAACCAAGAGATCAACCAACATAGGATGAGCATGTATGCAGCGGAAGTCTGATAAATGGACTGACTCACATAGACTGACTCACACAGATATCACTCCACACACAAACAATCGTGAGATGGTGGGGTCTGAGCCATTCATAGACGATGCTCAGGCCCCGTACACGCATACACAGATGAAGGTGGGAGGAGAGACGAAGGAGGTGGGAGATGTAGGTAGCGCCAGATGTCACCGAGATAGAATCCAGTAGGTCACCGATATGGTAGTCCAAAATGTCACCGAACAAGATCAAAATGTCGTGGACAATAAGTCACC